ACAATTGATCCAAAAAATAATTAAACCGACAATAATATACCCAAAGTCATATGTATAATTAGAATAATATAGTATTTATTAATATAAATTATTTCTATAAATTGATTCAAAATTAAAACTAAATATCAATCAATTACTATAAAATTTTATTTTTATGAATATTCATATCCGTGCATGAGCACGGGAAAATCACCTAGTAACTTTTAGTATTGGAGAATCTAGCAACCACATTTGTCTCCAACACTTGTAAGCTTTTTTCAGATCTTATGCATGTGGGAGTCTTGTATTGACTAATCGAAACACCACTTGAGATTGACAAATTCATTAGGGAATCAAACGTCCCTTCATTCACTACTCTTATCTCGAGAGGCCCAATAGTTCCATGGACTCGACCGTACTTGTATCCCTCGTCAAGTGAATCCTCCATTGCCAAACAACACTCCAAGAATGTCTTCTCGCTGAACTCGAGGCCCTTGATGTCTTTGTTTTCAGCCTTAACTTCCCAATAAATCACGTAGTGACCCGGACTACTAGAGATATCAGTACTGCTGGTGAAATGTACAAGCCTTAGACCTGATGAGTTGAGAACCAGCTTTTCTTGATTCACTGCTTTGAACAAGTCTTCCTCCTTTGTCATGTCCGTCTCAATGCTTAACACCACGTTCTCTCTTCCGACCACCTTAAACTGAGGTGCCTTGTTGTAGAATCCAGTTACCTGTAAAATATCTCCGGTTTTTATTCTATACAAACCCCATAAAGTTGTGACCAATAATTTGTAAGAACAACCGAGTTTCACATCCACGAGGTCCACAACATCATTATCGTCTCCCTCCAATGGTATGAACTCAAAGTAACATAGGTTGGGCAGGAGCGTGTAGGAGACGTCTTCAGGTTTAGACAAAGGATTGATATTAATACCGTAGACTGACTCGGAAGAAGCATAAGCTGTTGAAACGAGAGGCAGGTCATTGCAGTAATAGTTCAATGTAGGAACATATTGTGCCATTGAACCTGTAACAATAGCGCTAATGTATTTCGTTTGTGGCCATAGTTTTGTTATTATACCTTCCCAAGACTCTTCGCTGCAAATCTTTTCGATCTCGTCCGATAATTCAGGACGGGGCTGACCTCCAAGAACGATAGAAACGGAGTTTCTACAACCGGAATCGGTGATCCACTCGCTGAGATGACCTGATCGGATATTCCAACACAACTCCTTCCATGAATCTTCAAGAAGCTTGATTACTCGGACTATAATTGACGCGAATATGGAACCAATTCTCATGACCTCGTCTCTTTGGACAAGACCACATAGCAAATGGCAATACAGAACTTGCTTGCTGTCACTGCCTAAAATAACTTCATCAGGACTCGTATAAGAATAATACCAACTAGATGGTCGATTCTTGAAATAGTCGCTCTTTAAGTACCAGCTTGTTGCGGACCCCATGGGTAAGCCAATGGGAGTTCTGGAGTCGTGGCTAGTTAAGAAAAACAGCATCCCCTTTCCTTTCTCCACACCTTTAACATGCCTAAACAGAACAACAACAAATGTTTTTGTCATTTTATTAAAAATGTATCATAATGGATTTTTGATTTCTTACTAGCACCAAAGTATCCTGTTCGCGCCAAACTAACACAAAGATTAATGTAGATATTTTGGCAAAGATTTTCATAGACCTCACCTGTAAGTGGTGACTATCTAAAATTCGTGTTAGTTATAATATTACATTATCTGATTGTTAGAAAATAAGTATATTCCTTGTATAGTTTGGACTTGGATAAGGTAGATGTAAATAGATATATACTCCTCTATATAATTACATATACTCTTGTGATTAATTAAAAGCTTATCGGTTTTATCTTCCTAAACATCGCAATTTTTTTTTTTAAACTAGGAGGTTCAGGGCCGAAGCCCGTAATCCTCCAATCTCAAAACCCCAGCATGTAGTGGGTGGGCATAATACCCGAAAGTTCGAACCCAAATTGAAATGAGTGATATGGATCAGTTTCAGATCCTTTAAAATATCCGAGCGAATCCAGTTTCATATTACATTGGACTTTGGGTCGGGTTTGAATAAATCCAAAAACTGAACATAGATCTGAACATAATCAAAGTAGACATGTGTACATATATAATGTCATATTATTTATATTATATACTTTACTACATATAATGCTTTATTCAAATTTTCTAAAATTTATACTTTATCTTTGGTACTTAACCATCATATTTTGTTTCTCTTTTTGTACGTCCAAATCAAATGATAAAAAAATTAAGTTTGTTGCTTGTCTCAGACACCATTGTTTTCAATTTCATATTCTAGATGTCTTTTTCTTTCTCTTTTCTCTATTTGTTTCGAAACTCCTTTTATATTTCACATTATAGGATTTTTCATATTGAAACAGAGTATAATTGTTATTCTTTAATATGCAACTTTATTATGGTTACTTCGGTTCTAAATCGAACCAAAATTGTTATGAACCAAATCCGACCCAAAATTCTACAAAACCTAAATGTGACCTTATAAGGGTAAACACGAAAATCCGAACCAAACCTGAACCATTCTTAGCATGTAATATTAGTTTCTTCCTAGCTGTCACACGAACTGGGGACCTCTGACACAATAGTCAGAGTCCTTTCTAGTTGAGCTAATGATCTCTGGTAATCGTAAATTCTCTCTCTCTCTCTCTCTCTCTCTCTCTCTCTCTCTCTCTCTCTCTCTCTCTCTCTCTCTCTCTCTCTCTCTCTCTCTCTCGGTGGCTGTACAAAAAAGCCACAAGCTCATCTGAAAAATCATTCAAAATCACTGATATTAGATGTGATGGTCTCATTAACATGTGGATTTACGGAATCATCATAGATTCACTTATCAATACAATCTTATCTCTCAAAATCAATGCATGTGATCTGTGGCTACTCGCTAAAATGGAGTGACTAAGCAAGCAAAGGTAAGCCAGCCACAAGGTTGTTGTAGTTTGTGTTACTGCTGTGCCTATGACCATTTCAGCTATGCTGGGTCGGGGTGTCACAAACCCAGTTCCGAAAAATGATGGATATCCTTCGTGGAGTTATAGACAAACACAATTCCCATACCTGAATTTTCAGGGTCCTCTATGATACCATTTCCCCTTCATATCCCCCTTTTGTGACTTTCCTGTACGCGCCTACTCACAAGCAAAATGGAATCCTCGGCCCTTATTTTCCACATTCCAATCTTGAGGCTCATGTTACTCACATTGTCACACCAACAGCCATCTTACCAATGTTGATTCGACGTGCCCTTACTTGAGCCTTTAATACCATGAGCCTCCACGATCGAGCTGACTCAATAGACAGATGAGCCACAAATCACATAACCACTCAACAATGTACACTCTCTTATGTTCTTCTCGGTGATGGGTCTCTTGGTTATCTTATGCAAATGGGTGATTCTGCGTTGACCTCTTCCGCTAAAAATCTCCTTCTAACAATGTGTTTGTCTGTCTATCTATGATCAAAAACCTCAGTTATGTTTTACAAATTGTCACTGTAATAAAATTATTATGTTGAGTCTGACCCATTTGATTTCATTGTTATGAATCTCCTCAACATGAACAATCGGCTCTGATGTGACAATTCTCTACCCCTTTACTATGTGAACCCATCTCCAACTTCACCTCTTCCTTTAGCTTTCACAACTGGTGGATCTGTATTTGCAGTCGTTGGATTTTCAAATAACAATACCAACTTGACAACAAATGTTTCATATATGCGTTCAAAGTGGGTAAAAACACATCTTCCTTTTTTTCATCTTCTACGGTTGTCACTGAAGTTTTTCAATAATACATTCTGATATTTGCACTTGTCTAATATCTAGAGTTTCTGGTCTTAAATACTATGTTTAATCTTATCTAATAAAACTGAAGTACACTTAGTAATTAACCCTAACATTTTCTTAATATTTACATTTGAATGTCACTGGTCTTAAATGGCTTAAGTAAATGCTGTACTTTTAATATAACGTTACACTAGACCTTGACCCGCGCGCCAGCGCGGGTATGATTTTCCGGTTGTTGATTATTTATTTTATTAAATGATGTACTTGTAATACTTGATCATATTATATTCACTTAGCATATAATATTTTTGGCATGTTAAACCATCTATTGTATGATCAATCTTCGATATCATATAAAAAAATTAAACATATATAGTTATTTAGAGAATTGTATACTATATATAAAGACAATGGAAATGACCGCAAATTATTTTAAAAATTATATTATGACTCAATATGCCTAAAAATTAAAAGTTAGTTTAACATGTTTAAAAAAATAAAAAGATTTTGTAAATTTGTATAAAAAATAAACATATAAAAACAGATTAAAATTTGGTCATCCCAATCTTAACTATTTCATAATTATATTAATAATATATTATTTCTGATCATTTGTTCTGTGTCAAAAAATATGTTGAAAGCCCACATTATTGAAACCCATGTTAAAACCGTTTTTTTTCTATTTCTTTCGAAAATATACCCGAATATAGGAATTTGGTTCAATCTATATATTCCATTAGATTTTGAATTTATTGTTTCCTCTTCCGCAAGAAAATTAGTTACCGAAATTATAGACCAATCAGGTTGAAATTAAATATATGTTTATGATGCGAAAATCTTGGATATGATATTGATTTAAGGATACGATCTTGCAAAACTTTCTGTTATAATAGAGATAAGATTTTCT